TCATAGTAACAGCTACTTTACTGATCTACAGATTTATGTTATCAAGTTTATCGAATTCCAAATACAGTACATTCGTTCGTGCTTATCTAGTACTTCTTGATCCGATTACGTAATTTCTGGAATTCTTAGTTCGTACTATAATTCAAATACTTCTTATCATAGGTGCCTTAACTGAATTAGGCCTGAATAGCATCTAATCTGTAGTGTAAGTTACAATGTCAAACCCATGTACCTTATTCTAGCTTTCGGACAAGCCAATTTGTCCATTCATCTTGAGTCACGTTTCAACCATGGTAATTATTCACTTATCAACCCTGACTGCTTTTATAAGAGCGTATTTATGTACACTCCTTATCCTGTTCATCACATATCTGTAACTTATTTTTATCTGGCTATAAATATTGATTAACGCTTGTTTAAATGAAGTTGGTTTACATGCCATTTTCACAACGCGTCATCTCGTTTCGCTCTCTTCTATTCGTTTCGTTCTTCTGAGTGACTGTCCAGATTGATGAGTATACAAAATATGTGTATTCATAAATCCATTCTCAAATTCAATTTATTTTTGATTCCGTTATTTACACCAACGCAATTTAAATCGATGAAATATACGGGGTTAGGCGATATGGGTATTTCGATGACAATCACAATTCAATCGAATGGGAGTCAGATCATGGGCCCATTAAATCTCTACAACATTCCTTGTTAAAAAAAGGACACTCTTCTTTGCATCATTCATTGGGCTTATCTTTTGTGCATACTTTAAGGTTTATTACTTCATCAAAGCATCATAGAAACATTAATAGAATTATATAGAATTATCCTGAAAATAATTGTTTTTTTTTTATATTAAGTAATATATATTAAAATTTGAGAAAACAATTAATGGGTCTTCAGTCAGTTGAATTTAGACCACCATAGGAAAGCTGAAAACACTGGAAGGACATTTCGTCCTATTGTGAGAATATAATATCCACAAAAACCCCTTCTGTTATGTGCACACTAGTGACTAGCTTCAAGAGGTATTTCCTGAAGCTCTAGTGAGAAGCAGTGACCAGTGGAGTTGAATCGAGTTTGTTGTGAGATAGTAACTCACTGAAGACATTGGTTGATGGTGGCTGAATTTCGTGGTCTAGAGGTTAAGCCTTCGCGCGGGAGACTGATTGATTCTGGTTTTGAATGTTGCCAGGCGAGATCGTGGATGCGTACTGCCAACGAGGAGTCCGACAATGGGATGAAACGGCCATCTAGCGCTGCCAGGTTTTCCATGGTAGTCTTGCTTCAATTGACTCATGATCTCAACTAATGAGATGTGTAAACATCAGAATAATATCCACAAAATTCCCTTCTGATATTAATTAATGGGTCATCTAATGCAAAGTGTGATCGATAATCAAATCCACCAATGATAAATTCACTTGATGTTGTTTTACTTGTATCTTCCCATTGTTATTTAGGACTGCAATTGATCAGTCTCATGTTGGCATATGTGCATCCTATGAGGATTGCCTGGATATAGCCTTAAGTCACAAGTTTTTTTAAACAAAGAGGAGTGAACATCAACTCTGGGATACAGGTACATCCAGCTGACGAGTCCTAAATAGGGCGGAACACGCGTCCTGGATTCCACTGACAGCTACTATCCATCTCAACAATGATAATATAAAACGCCTACCACCACATTAATTTTCTTTTACCTTGTATAACTATGCCCTGTCTATTGAAAAATCACAATTTTATGTTCATTAAAAAACATTATTGGCTTCGTTGACTAATATTCCCTATCCTCTAGTTACTGTTACGTATGTTATTTATGTCTCTTCTTTTCTCTGTTTAATAGACTGTACTGTTTATTTGTATAGTAACAGTGTTAATTTATGTTTTAGAAACAGATCAGGTTTATCAAGCCAAGTAGCTTATATGTTCTGACTAGCTAAACCAAGACTGTGTGCTCGACGGTCCAGAGAATATCATAGAATTACTCCTGTTGGAAATTTACTTTCTACATCTAATGTAAATTTAATTAATCAGTTTTACAGTTGTTCTCATTATTTCATAATGCAATCGCTATTTTTTACTCTTCTCCTTTATTTTATTTACATAAAGATTACATAACAAAAGTAAACAATTGGAATATCCTTCTTCTTCATTATAAAAAGTAAATGAACGACCATTTGAAACTACTAACGAATTATCTATTCGAAGTTAAGAGATTCATATACACAACAATCATGCATTATCATCAATGTCTAGTAACGTTTATGAGTACAATTGTATTACTGACAATTGTACATGATGTAACAGGTAATTAGGTATCATCTAATGAGTAATATGAATGTTTTATTGTTAATGTAAATACATTGAAGGAGAATAATAATGACGGTCATTGTAATTGTGAATAATTCTCTTTTCTAACATTCAGGTTCTGGTTTCGGGGAAGAAGAAACTAGTAAGATTGACTGACATTTGCTTCCTATTTATTTCTTCAATAAATCACCTTGATATTGTCATTTGAATTCGAGTTGTAGTAAAGTTGAATTGTGTCTAACAGTGTTATCAGATAGTCTCGTTTCGTATCTTTTCGAAGTCGTCAACTTGACCCACTTATAATTCATTTCACAGTCTTCCTTACTTAAACAAGCATCATTCTAAAACATAATCATGATTGTCTAGATTGATAAATGTCTATCAATAATTGATCTGTATGATCTTCAGTGACAAAGAAGGAGCTCATCAATTCCTAATCCACATATATTTCTATCACTGAAAACATTCTAACTCACATATATCCATAGTTCACTTCATAATGAAACATACATTGCGATTGAAAATTCTTCAAGAATGGCACTTTGTAGTTCTCTCTCACATAACATTTGATCATTGTTGGATTAGCTACTAATAAATATGATAATTGAAATTGTGTTTCAGCTACAAGTGAGTTGTAATGTGAATGTGTTTTATAAGTGATTATTTATGCAATTATACTGATAATATATTAAGATTAGCTGAGATTCCTACATGATTGATTTATCAGTCGTTTGGATTCGATTAGATCCCTGAGCAAATCAAATTGTCATTTCACAGTAGATGACATGATTGATAAGTTAACTTGTCAATAACTGACAGTCCACTTCAATTTTCTGTAAATCAATATGACAATAATAAATAACATTTTGAGATGAACGTGGATAACCAATTTAACGTGCAACGAGATTCCCATTAAAAGAATCGTAGCTTACCAATCAACTCTTAATGCTCGCTGATGTTTGGACTGAAACGATCAGCAATCTTAGTAATCGAATCACTTTCTCAGTAAGTATGAAAGTCTGTGACAGATGATGATTGTGATGGATCGATATATTGAGCTGCTGAATAATTACCATCAAGACACAAATTGTCTGGACTGAAGAATTTCAATACACTGTGGTGTGAGCTACTTATATTGACATAAGTAGTATATAACGTGCGTTAAAATAACGTAATGCTCGGCAGCAAAAGATGGCGAAGACCAAGAAAGGTGGAGCAAGAACATAATGGAATTTGTAAGAAAACTTATGAACAATGGAATGGGAGACAATGGATTAGTGTTTGCAGCTTGAACAGTACAGTTTGATATGATGTATTGATAATTTGCAAATTGACGATTGACTTTATGGTATTCAGATTTTGTTGAGATAGTCTGTAATTTTCGAGCTAAATACATTCGATTGTCCCCACCCGTGTTCTTGTTCACTACATTTGGTGTCGCTGCCAACCGGGAGAGGAGGAGGGTGCTGTTCTGCGGACGCCGTTGCGGGCCTGGGGCTGAGGTGCCAGTTGGGGCAGTCTGGTGCGGAGAGGCGGCGTCTGGTGGAGTGTTCTGGCGGGGCGGCGTTGGCTGTAGTGGATGCTGTCGGCGGAGAGGAGCGGTGGGACGCTCGGCTGCTGGGCGGATATCGAATGTAGATGGCTCAGCAGGCCGGTGGAGTGCGGGTGTTAAGCGTCCCAGGTGCCGGGTGGATGTCGGTTGTTGCTTTCCCGGCAGGTCGATGGAGCTACGGAAGTCAGCGCCCCGCAGACTCGACATTTTGACGGAGAGCGTGGCACAGGCTGCAGAGACGGAGAATGTTGCACGGCGAGCACGAACCACCACAAGAACGACTGCTTTAAAGGGGGGGGACGAGTGTGGTGTGAGCTACTTATATTGACATAAGTAGTATATAACGTGCGTTAAAAGAACGTAATGCTCGGCAGCAAAAGATGGCGAAGACCAAGAAAGGTGGAGCAAGAACATAATGGAATTTGTAAGAAAACTTATGAACAATGGAATGGGAGACAATGGATTAGTGTTTGCAGCTTGAACAGTACAGTTTGATATGATGTATTGATAATTTGCAAATTGACGATTGACTTTATGGTATTCAGATTTTGTTGAGATAGTCTGTAATTTTCGAGCTAAATACATTCGATTGTCCCCACCCGTGTTCTTGTTCACTACAACACCACTGAATTTGTGTGAGCATATCAGTGAGAGACAACAACAAACACGACAAGATACATTTCCATAAAATTGATGTCACATATGTATTAAAATGATTCATGAAACCCCGTCATTTCGAAGAGTGAGTGTGACGGAGAGTTGGTTTTGAACTGAAGAAAAACTGTTTGTTCTATGGTAAGATTCATCAAGATGTTGTTAAAGTTGATGTGAGTCATGGGTATATTTTGTGTCTAGAAAAATCCGTTCGTCCTTGTCAACAGATATCTGAAGATGTAATGAGGTATCAGTAAAACATCATCTTAAGAAACAGAACGTACTAACGAAGCATATATGTGTAAGTTGTAAAAACACATTCACTGTTAACTAGATTCGAATTTTCTTTGTTTGATAATGCCACATTTAAGATTGTAAACCGAGAAGATTACTGATATAGATGAAGTTCCTGTGACTACCAATCATCAAGGTTTTCCAAGATAAGTGGACATCTGAAATGAATTATATTCTGGAATAATGTGGAGTTATGCAGATCTTGTCAACGATTTGTCCACTCGTTCATGATACATTTAATGTGAAATCTGTATTTATCACAGTATTGAATAAATTACATAATTCCTCAACATTTATTTATGATTAATAGAGTGAAAAGCGAGAGCCTTTTTTAATTATAGCCTCTACAACGAGTAAGTTCTAAGTACTAACTATTTATACCTATGGAAATTGTTAATATTCTGTTCAGTTAATCAATATTGGAGGTATTGATGAAGAGTTTTAAGTGAAGAGTTAACAATGAGATCTGAATTTGTGTTGTCTGTAGTCAGGACATCAAAGAGAAAATATTTTGAAGTATTACATGAACGAGGATCCTGTGAATTTCCCTCTGCTAGATGAACAAGTTATTTCAGATTAATCTATCTTGATTGATGGAACGGTTGATTGAGTACTCGTGTATGTGTGTGTTCAAAATTCATGCTAAATCAAATAATCTCCCATGTGTAAATCAATAAGTCTTTACTCATATGATTATTGGTTAAGGTGTGAATTGATCGACGAGAATTCAGGCTTCAATAAAACAAACTGAATAATTCACACGTTCTCTCTAAGCGTCACTAACATTATAGTTCTTAACAAGTAAGTGACGAAGTGAACTGAGTAGAACAGTGAACATACAACTCTCTGGCATTTAAAGTGAAAGATACTGCGTTCGAATTCTAGTGTGCAAATACCAACATCATCAACTACGCATAACCAACAGACGATTACCAAATAGGACAGGGTCATACACATGGATCATAACTCATTTTATATAATTTGAAGTTTCATGAAAAGTTTCCAAAGCATGAATTATATATATGAACTCTCCCTGTTCTTCATACAATTCTATCCACAGCTACGGGTTCAGCCAGTAAGTGATTATGTCAGAAATTATTCAATTGATCATTTACTCTATCTATTCAATCCATTACATAATTCTGTGGTTAGAAATAACTTTTGCGAACACTTTGAATTTATACAAACGCATCAGTAGATTAGTAGTTGATCATTCAAATATAGTAAACATATCCATAAACAAAGACATTCATCTAACCAATTGTACTTTGATTAATCAAAATGTTTGTTTTGAATTCATCATTTACCTAAACTTGTTTTATTTTTCTCGAACAATTTAGACTCCATGAGACTGTCTTGGATAACCATTTCATCAATCAGTATGGTAGTGATTGGACTGATCAATGGTCATTCAAGAAGATTCATCTTCTAGAATATGACAATCGTTGACTGCAACACAACCTCATTTCGTATGTTACATTACTAGTACTCCTTAAAAAATACAGAAATATTTTGATGTAAACATTGTCTCGTGTTTGTAAATCATTCAAATAAACACTCTATATGGTTTTATTCGCATAGAAGTGTCATCTTCTTTTAGGTTAAACATGGACTTAATGTTTATATTTAGTATAGAGGGAAGTTGCAGTTTAACCGACGATTAAGGTTCTCATTGAATAGTATCTGAATTGAATTGTGTCATGCAAGATGTTCGAGTAAATATGTGTTGAAATTTATAGTGATTAGTATATAGTGACTGTGATTGCGATTGTTTTATTTGACACATTTCATCTACTACCTTCTACTAGGTGAGCATCATTGTACGATAATTCACTTTGAATGCATTAGTCGATGTTGACAATTATTGTAAGGAGTGTAATGCTGTTATATTGAATTGAAACTACGATGTGAATTATTTCCAGACGATGCAGAGAAAAACTGTATTCATATTAAATCTCTTCATTTATGATGAACCTTGTATAAAATCGTATTCATAAGAATGAAAATATAGATGACCACTTGTTTGATACAATGGTTGTCTAGTGAATAGAACAAATAGATCAAATATTATCATTCCGTAAATGAAGATTCCTTGATAATGGTTAGCATAGTAAGAACTACATGATTTGGTGGCCTGTTCGAATATCTGGAATACCTGTTTCCGACATCGACACATTTCGTCAAGTTATTTGATTTTGATTGTTTTAACACATCATTATGTCGATAAATCACGCAACATATTCAGGTGCGTTTCTGACAAGTTCACTACTTTTCTCTCTACAGAGTACATTCAGCGACATCGTATTGGTTGGCAGACAATTCGCATTCAATTAGAATGAACATTATTTGAATGTATATTCTGGAACTACTAACATTCAGTTGATGATAACTGAATCGTTGAGATTGATCTAGAAATGGGGAATGGAAACTTGTAGGAATACCGTGTACTGAGAATTCTATATTGTGATAGATCGCAGTCGAACTCATCATATCAAGAATTGTAGGACACAACGCATGTGAATAAGCGTAGTCAAAACATGATGATAAGTAATAATTAGGAGTAGAATGAGTATTCTGGTTGCAATTAATTGTATTCTGAATCAAAGAGATTGTGTAAGGTTAATGAAATGAATAAAGGATTGAGTACTCACTCAATATTGATTAAAATGAAGAGATGTGTAGGTGCTTGGTTCGATTCCCGCAGGGCTGGATCGTGGATGTGTACTGCCAACGAGGAGTCCCACAATAGTTCGAAACGGCCTTCTAGTGCTTCCTGGTTTTCAATGGTGATCTAGTTTCAATCGACTCATGATCCTGATTATTAAAATATGTAACCATGAATAAATCTAAGAAGATGACAAATACATAAAAAGAGATTGCATAGCTGTAAAGTAATTTGAAAAATTAAAGCTTAATAAATGTTATGGAGTAAGCGTTCAGTTATCATGACGTGAAAAGTTTAATCACACGTTGTTATCTTCTCGTATATATAGTTCAAATAGGAAATGTTTGATACAGTCTGTGTGTATATGCGAAATGCAGTAGGATTGGTGTTGGGCTATTTGTTGATTATTTTGTATGGATCACTTACATTCACTTCATATCCACTATTCAAAAGTTGTCAGGCAATTGTACTTGTGATGAGTTAATTCGGTCTCAGCCATGTATACAACTTATAGGAATAGATATATGTAGTATGTAGTTAGAAGTCGTACTGACGGAAAAATTAATAAAGAGAAAGAAACGTAAAACAGAAAACAACTGATTAAATAACGGACATGGAAGGACGATAGAGTTCTAGAGAAGCAATTAAAGAAAGATGTGAATATAGTACATTTAATGTATCGTTTTCACATTTTGTAAAGATACTGTAATTATACGTTGTTAAACCGACTTTCCCTTTCCACGTAAACTTTCATTACACCTGGAACACGTTCAGGAAACTTATTCAACCTCTTATGCTTCGAAATTTCTATTTCTTGTCACTGACATCTAATTATTTTAACGAGTCATCTGTTTATTGTTTTGTTTTATTGTCTCATTATGTTAGATAATCGCATAACCTATGCAGGCGCGTTTATGAAAAGCTTACGACCTTTCGCTGCTCATGTAGCGATGAAGTACAATGAGAGACATCACGCATGTTAGCAATCTGCGTTGAAGAGAATGAACAATAATCGTATTTCGACTCTTGAGCTGCTAAATTCCATTTGCCGATCACTAATTTACAAGGTGGACTATCTTCAATTCCTACTAAGACAAAATATATATCGTAATTGTGGTGTCATCACAAATCATGAATCTTGGTTAAGTGATCTGCTAGGCGAATACTTGGTATCACCATGTGATTTCGATATATATCGTCAGGATCGACCAAACGACAAAAAGATCTGTGGCGTAGGTGTAGATTCGTTTGTAGCTGGTTTCGATATACTTTTGTATGTTTCAAGTTTTAAGATGATTTTATCGACTGTCTAACTTCAAGATTTCTTCAGGAACAGCTGATTAAATACAATTATGTTTATTTTAGCAACATCTACGCAACTCTATAATGCACACCATCTGTGCGGTCAGACTGTGTTGGACCAGACAAATATGAACGCAAAAAAATGTTAACCAAGTTATGAAGAGTAAATAATAATGTTCATAGTTAATGATACAACGTAAAAATATGGACTTTACTTAAATTAATCAAGTTGCCGTGTGTTCTGATTGGGTGTGCTATCGTAAATCCACAATTATGAATGTTCGATAACTCTGTAGACGTTTCTGAACTCTCCAATGATGCAATCCACTGTTGTGTGTGATGTGTCTCAGCTCACAGTCTATAAATGTGGATAATATTCGATTTAGGATGCAGTTAGCCCAATAACGAGTGACAATAGAACGAGGAGTGTGTGTATAGCAGTATTTTTGAGAACAACGACAAGTATGTCACGCTATGTCAGTATCACAACAGAAAGAGTGTTCAAGGTCATTTACTAAAACACCAGTTACAGTAATTTAATGATAAATATACATGCAGTGAAAGATCAACAAAATAAATACAAATCATATTAAAAACTATTTACAAAATAAGCTTGTCAGACCTATCCCCACATAGCTCCCCTCAGAGTGTCTGGAGGTAACACTGGTTATAATAACAAAAAAATGTAAGGATATTATATATACACGTATACAAAAATAATATTTACAGTTATAACCAACAAAAATGTGGAGATGGGTATGACATGTACGTAAGTAAGATGCAGTGTGTTGTTGCGTGAGGGTGGCGGTGATGTAGCATAGCATAAAAAAACACAAAAAAGAGAATACTGTCATTTAACGTTTTGGTTTGCTAACAATGATAATAGTGTGAAAAACTGTTAATAAACCCACACGAAAATTGTTTTTGGGTGAACTTGGTAGTGTAGGACCTCGATCATTGTTTCCGTTGACAGTTTTTGCTATTTATACGGCGAAATGTACATAACGCTTGGGCTTTTTTATAAGTCTCCCAGAACATGTTAAACAGGAAGGTGTAGTGCTAAATTTTCCCTCCTCCTCTTGTTTCTCAACACTTGATGGGGGGGATTGTTTATTCGCAGAGTTGTCTTCTTTGTCTTGAGGAGCTTCGTAGAAAGCTGGTTTTATTCTGTCGATGGAAACGGTCTCCTTGTTCTCATTTTTGTTGATAATGAAGTATTTTTGGGTGCGTTTCATTACTTTATAAGGACCTTCACATGGTGGTGTCAAGTGGCTTTTTCATAGCGTCTACTAGAACAAAAACAAATTTGCACGTTTCCATATGTTTATCGAGTTGTACGCGGTTGTTATGTTCTCGCGGAGATATTGCTTTGATATTCTGCATCGT